GGTAAGAATGAGTACACTGGTTCTAGGTATTGGCTACCAGAATTTCTCCCTTCATGACTTATTATCAAAACACATCTTGAAATCCTCCCTAAACATGCATGCTCAGACCTGAGAAATCCAGATCATTGCTGAGGAGAGCTCAGCTTCCTTAAGACATAGTAAGATGAACAGGAGTGCAGAGCTGTCTTAGGAGCTGCTCTGCATCTTAGAGATAGCTAAATAAAACAAAACTCTGAGATGCCTTTTCCATAATGGAATAAGTATGTGAATGAAAAATGAAGAGGAAGAGCTGTGCTAGGTATCCTAACATGTATAAATGTTGTCCAGTGTCTAACTGTAAATATTACTGCATTTTTCCAGGCAGCTAAGAAAAGGCACAAAAGTATTTAATGAAGAACTAACATGTTGCACTTATATAGTTCTCTGAGCAATTTACTACTTACTAGCTGAACATATGTTGCATAGAATTATCATCATGTTCTTTATGCAGGAACAGAAAATGTCCTTGCTAGCTAAAAGTTTCAAAGCTGCCCTGAGTATCTGGACATTCTGTCCCTGTGTGAAATGAACTTTTGGCCAAGAAGGCCAAGTGTGTATATTAAGTCTGGCACCCTTTTGCATGCTCTCTCCAGCATTTCTGAATCCAGGATAAAGAATTTTCACTAGAAATTCTAATAAATGTGTGTAGTTTATATGAAGCTGTAATTACAATTACACTCTTAAGTTCTTGTAGGTCCTGGTCCTACCTGCTTTGCTTTAGTACCTGACTTACTAGTCACATTTGGAATTGAAAGTTTTGGAGTTTCAGCTGAGCTTTGTTTTCTCTTTGTGGTTGCCTACAAATCTTTTACATTTGTTCATTCCTTATTTTGTTCCAGGCATCCATTTAAACTCCTTGTTCCACATAGTTTCCTTCTCCAGGAGACATTTACCATCGTCAAAATACAAAAGCATTACATTTTGGAGACAAAAGCTTTGATAAATGAGCTGGAGGAACTGGTTCAGACTTTAACACTTGGCTACCAACTTGAAAACCCCTATGTGAGTAAGACTTGGTCCAAAAATTTCCTTGAATATGACATACCAAAAACCAACTGGACAGAAAATTAGTAATTTACTGTACATATCTTACATTCCTTGCATTTCCTTTCTTTTTTTAAACTTTCAGATTTGTGCTGCTTTAGCTCATCCTTATAACTACAGGTGGTTACCTAAAAATGTTGAAATATGCATTTTAACTCGAAGTCACCAAATGGTGAGTGTATTTCATGCTAAATTTCATTTAGAAGACGAGATTCATTACCTGTCTGTATAAATTGGCAATTTATTGTCTTTTCGGACCTAGCTTGCTTATAGGTCTTTAGATCTCACCAGGTAAATGCTACAAGCAAAGTTCTCTTTCAACTGATGTTAAAGATTAATAGTGTTATAAGTAGCAAACATAGGTTAAGATTAGGTCCCTGAGTCCTTTCCAATCTAATCATCTTGCTTACCAAATACAGTTCTTTTCTTTCTCTGCTTTGCTTATTTTTCATTTTGAGCCACAGAGTAATAATTCTCAACTTGGCAATAGCTTCTCTTATCTGTCATAATACCCAATGAAGTTCGCTTACATTCTTAACACACAGGTGAAGCAGGAAGTCAAAGCTACCTTGAAAGTCAATAGGGAAGATGTTCTCAGCTTTCTAGGAATATACCAGGACAAATCCAGTGAGGCAGATCTCAGGCATCTTTTATATGTGGATGTGACTCATTCATTCCAGGTACTGATGCTGAAACTGGTCTTTATTTTAGGGTACATGGAAAAAGAACTTCCTTCTTCCTTTCTAGAGAAAGTTTCTGTCTTAATTTATATTGTTTTGATTTTCATGTCTTGGTGGCTGTTTCTCTGCTTTGCATTTAGAACTAATTCTTCTGTGTTTGCAAAATTTGTTTCCTTTTCTTTCAATAAAATCCTGATGGTGACAAAGGCTCCCACATATCACTCAAGGCCAAATAACAATCAGTATCAGTACTACCTTTGTAAGTAAAACACTAATCCTTTGTTTTCATACTCTCAGCAGTGACTTGTGTAAACTTTTATCCATGTTTGTTTCTAAATGTTACTCACTTTATGCTAAAAGTTCAGACAGCAAATAACATGAAGCAACTGATGTGAATGCAGTTATTTTTTCTACATTTTGCTTTGTTAATAGCTCGAATTTCCACAAGCAGTAGCCCTAAGTGGGGAGCTGTTTTCTAGACAAACCAAACCAGAAGACTTTGACTACGCTGTGAATGTAAAAGCCATAATCAACAAGAACGATTCCTCACAGGTCAGTTCCCTGATTCTAGCAGTCACGTTACACAAACTTGTGACTTCTGCAGCTCACTCACTGTCCATTAGGGTTGGAGTTCTATCTCGTTTGGAGAACCATTACAAAAACTCCATTCCTAAAGATCCATGTTATGTCTCTTGCTTGCTGTATGCATTTGGCACTCATTTCAGCCTGAAACTTTGTACTGTAAATTACTGTGGAACCACCTGCAAGTTGGGGGAACAAATGTGCGTATGTGTATATGCTGTAAAGTTGTCCCTAATGCTTGTAGGGAATCCAGTGAGCCATAGTGGAGAGGCCAAAATTGTTAGGATGGCCATTAACTTTTTATGGATGGAGCTTGTTCTGGGTAGATGGCTGTGTGCAGTGGGAATAGGTGGCTTGTGTTTTGGCTGAAATTAAGAAAACTTTGGAAAAAAAATCTCTGAGATTTGGGTAAAATTGTACTTGAAATGCAGTATAGTTTTTCCATTTTAGCAGTTTTACATATATTGCAGCAATGTTTTTGTTTTCAGTTCAGCTGAAAGGTCCTGGGATAACAGGTTCTGGGAGGCCTGTTGGCCACTAGAACTATTTGAGGTAATTCTGAGCACTATGGTTAGGATGAAGAGAGAGAAAGCCCAGAGCATCCCCTGGGGAGTGGGGATAGAAAGGGCAAGCCAAAGGCAGTGTGGCCCTGTATTGGGTCTGGGACAACACTTGCTGTTCAGCAAGCACTAGGCCTGGTGGCTGCAGCCTCCAGACTGCTGGTTTTTGATAGAGAAATTGCAATTGTGCTACTCCGAGTTGTGGTCCAAGCCAGTGGCTTCAAACAGCTCTGCCAAAGCCAGCCTTTTTGTAGCAGAACTGGGAGCCTACTTGTGAAAACTGGGGAAACTAAGTTTGACAATATTTATTCAAGAAAGTTATTTTTAGGAGCATAGTACATGAATGATCCACAAGCAGCCAGGAAAAGAGATCCTGTCTGAGACCAAAGAAAAAAAAGATCAATTTTATTTTTAGTAATTTCTTAAAGGAATATGAGAGCCTCCCCAAGCCCATCTTTATCTAAGTCCTCAAACTTATGTTTCACTGTTTGCATTATGATTCCAGATTCTTAATGTCCTGTGCTTATTTTCTCTGTGTGTAGGTCCAAGCAGCCCTGAAGATTTATGGTGAGAGCAACCTCAATGGATCTCTTTACCTTTATTCCAGTGGAAGGGACATGCTGGTGCTGGAGGTTGATGTGACTCATGAAATGAAGAGGAATGCCAGAGCTGTCGGAGTGAGCGCTTTCTTCCATCATGCAATCTTGACAGAACCAGAGTCAATGCAGTTCCAGTTAAGGGGCAAAATGTTTCCGTCGAGGTAGAGAAATCAGTCTTGGTTAACAGATGTGAGAGGAGAATTGGATCTGCTATATTTAGTTTAGAAAACCCTTATTGTACTTTCAAAATACACACTTTAAATTATTTTAATGTACTAAATCTTCACTGTTATATAACATTTTAAAGTCTTGTCATATAAATGGAATTTTCCACTTTGTAGACTTTGTTCTCACAATTCTGTAATACAAATGCCTCCAGCAAAGGAGACACATGGTCACAAAGTGAAATACAAGAAATTCTGTTTAAACATAAAAAAATAGAACCCTTTTACTGTAAGGGTTGTCTAACTGTAGAACAGATTGTCCAAAAAGGTTATGAAGTTTCCATCCTTGTAGATACTTGAAGCCTGACCAGACGGTCTATCATAATTCACTCTCGCTGACCCTGCTTTGAGCAGGGGGTTTGGGCTGGACGATCTCCAGAGGTGTTTCCCTTAGCTGTTCCATATATAGAAATCATTGGAGTGCATCTGTGATCTCTGACATCCAGTTTCTGGCTAACAAGGCAGGGCAACAGGTGCAGAAGAACCATCCAAACAGAAGCCCTCAGGCAGAATCACCCTAGAAACTACTCTGGGTACAGTATGGGCAGAAGCAGTGAGGCACAGATGTTTTTCTTGGGGTTCTCAGCTATGTGTGCTAGGCTGTTAGACCATTTAAGCACAAGTCTCCTCTTCAATCTCCTGTACTGATCTCTTGTAAAATCTACTTCTCTTTTGTTGAAATACAGGATATACACTGAATATTGTCAAACAAATGGGATGGTTTTACTACAGGTTGTCAGATAGACTAACATGAATTCAGCAGTACTAAGATGACTTTACTGTTTTTTTTTTGTCTGTCTTTTTAGAATTTTGATATCTTCTGAGCTAAAGCGTAATGAAAACAGGCTACATGTGGATTTCATGGGAACTAGGGAGCAGAAAGTTGGTCTTGTCTTGTCCGTAAATGGAAAAGTCCAGCACACGTTTACTGAATTAAAGGCTGTACCTCAGCTGCTTGCTCTGAATGGATTGCTGAAGCGCAAAAGCAACATACATGATGGTATTTTTTTTATTTTCTTTATTATGCTTTATTGCCAGTTCTGCAGCTATCCAAGGAAATTTATGTATTATTTTAGGAAAAAAAAAAAAAGACACTCATTATTTCCCTTAATGAACAATGCTAACAAATAGAAGACACACCTGCAGTGAAAATTGTAGCTTACTGAAATGTGTCTTCACTTGACTGATCAACAGTTCATTTTCCGTGCCCTTCTGTAAGGAATGCACTGTGAATAGGTAGTGGATGTCTTTTTTTTTCCTATGCCAGCCTTTGAAATGCAGAGGGGCAGCAGCGTCACGGATCTCGCCCTTGCAAATGGCTCCATGGAGTAGGGGGTGTCACTGCAGAGCTCCAGAGGAATTATTTGTCCTGGAGCAACGCAAGGAGCCTTTGTGGAAGGTCATAATCCCTCTGTAAACTTGCCTTTAGAAGAAAGTGCATTGTACTTGTTTGGGCCTACAGGCCAGGACTTCTTTTGTGAATGAAAAGAAACAGCTGCCGTAAATGCTATGTATTCCTGTGTAATTTTTTCTCAACACAGGCATTTCTGCTAGTAGAGAAGCTGTTCTCTTAATAATAACCCATTTTTCTATCTGGATTACGCTAAATTCTCTACTATAATCAGTGGAAATGCATTTGCTTCTCCACGATACTAAATTAATGATTAATTTGTATGTTGCTCATCACATCCTGGTCATTTTCATCCCAAAGGGCTCTCTGCAGTAATCGTTTCTGTCTGTTACAGGTAGTATCAATGTGATGATCAACAGAGCGCTGTATGGACTACATCTCAGGAGCAGAAATGTGTTTGGCAATTCCAGCGTACACAATATCACTTGGGCTGTGTTCCAGAATGGCAGCCAGGCAATGCCCATGGAGACACAACTGAAAGGACACCTGGAGCTGAGTGAAGAGATCAAAAGGGGCTTCGTTAGTTTCCTGGTGGATGATGAAGCCCTTTCTGTAAATTTTTCCAGTGTCATGAGTCAGGAATGCATCAGGATCAGTGGGAATTTCACACATAATATCAGCTCTTTAAAAAATACAGGTATGAAAAAGCTCTGTGTTTGACATACAGTGTAACAGTCTAGAGGTGAATTTGTCCAAAGGGGTGCAGACCTGTGGAAGTTGCATTTGCAGGACTAAAAGTGGTCTGGTCTTAACTTCAGCAACATTCACTTTAATATCATTAAGAAAGTACAGTAGAGTGGATATGGGACTTTGACTTCCAAGGTACGTATCATGCTTTAATTTAACAATCATTTAAAGGTTTGCATATGGTAGGTAATGTTCTTGCTTCCTATAAATACACAGCAGATAGTACTGTCTGCTATTATGAAAAGTGATAAAAACTCTCTCTCTCTAATCTGTAATTTAGCTTTTATGTATTTTACAGACAGTGACAGCCCAGCAGTATCAGTTGTGCTGATGTTGCTTCCTTCCCTGTTGTTAGGATTGCCCTTGGAAGGCATTCTCACTGCCGTATGCAACCATGTCATAGCAAATCACACTGTTGTGATAGCCCTACAGAGTGGCAGTGAAAGGATTACTGCTGTGCTGGAAGGTCAGAGGCTGTCTGCAGAGCCTCCTAAATCCCAGCTGTCTGTGAGATTACAGCACAACATCTCCAAAATACAGAACCTTGGGATCCCCTTTATTGTGGCAGCTGCTGGCTATTACCAGGTAAGAAAAGTTCTGCCTGTGATTGTTTAATTTCTAGTAGAACCATTTCTAATCACTTTAGGTTATTTCTGTGTGCTGTTAACCACAGGATTCACTTCACTCCTAAAGTGGCTGCATTTTTGAGATGTGCTAAATTGCTGTGCCTTCCCAATGGAAGGTGTCTTCATGGCTTCTAGTCACACAGATTGTGTACCAGTTGTCTGAAGTCTTGGAACTGAATCTAGACCAAGATAGTACAGTCAGTTCAGATTTAAGTGAAGTGCCTTACCACTTAGGGATGGTAGTCTCGTCCAGTTCTATTTTTCCTTTATAATTGGGAAGTGGATGAGCATATGTGTCCATGAGTCTAGGAACTGCATTGCTGCTTATACTTCTTTTTCTAGTTACAATATTATCCACCATGTCTGCTAAATAGCCAAGGAATGTTTAATACGGCTCTCCCTTTGGATATCTCAAAGCACAGGAACATCATGGATCGTATCTGCTAGTCCAGTGTGGGTACAGAGCGTTCAGAAGGTCCATCATGATAGAACGATCTGTCTTTGAAATGAAGCTGCATTGAGGAATTTGTGCTTTGCTTTTACCAGGGCAGCTGCTGTGACACAGACTGTCAGGTTCCAGCACTGCCTTTACTTACTGAAACATTTGCTGCCTTTACTAACCATAACTGGGATGTTGTCATTTGTGACATTCCCTTGTATGGTTTCTTTTATATTCAGAATTTCAGCAAAGGGATTGCTGCAGAAATAACAATCATAGTGGAAAAGGAACAATTCAAAGTCAAAATAGAGAAGAAAACTACTTCCAATGCAATGGACATTTCCCTTTTGCTTCTTCATGATGTGGGAATACTGATGAACATTTTTCCACAGGCCATCCAGGTTAGCAGAAACCCTGTTACATGCTGTATTTGATGTCACTTTCTGCTGTTCATTCTCAGTTGTTCAAATCAGCATCTTGAGTGCAAGATAGGAGATCAGAAGAGAGAGACTTTTTCCCAAGCAAGACCGGCACAAGAAAGCCTAGAAACTGCTTGAAAACCTGCTCTTTATTGATAAGCAAAATGCAGCAGCTAACAAAACATACACACCCTGCAGTTTCATGCCGTGTATCTAAAAGGGTGCTTGTCCAGCCACGACAGCGTCCAGTCCCTTTCCACCTTGCTGAAGTGGGGCTCGCAGGTGGAGCATGGTAGCCCTGTGTGGATGCAGTGGTGTGAAATGGAGAAGGGAGAATAATGGCAGTAGTTTTTGTACAGCCAAGAGCCATTGCAGACTGCAACACAGGGCACAGCTGATGCCTTTTAAACCACTGAGCAATCTGCTTGCGACAGTGGTATTTTCCAGGTTAAACACAGGCAATACCACTGTCTCGTGTCAAAATCAAAAGCCAGAGCATCAAAATCTGTTCAGCAAGTGACAGTTTCCTACTGTTTGAAGATACTCTTTTTGTTGTCTTTCCTGGTAATATTTGGGATAATAATGTAAGATTAGAGACATAATTTAGCCTCAGATCCATTAAACGTTTTATCTTTTTGAGACTGATTTCTGAACTTTAATCAAAAAGCTATGCTTTAATATTTTCCTGCTCTTTCTCTTGAGAGAAGCCATTTAGTTTGTTACTTTGTATTTTTGCCCCTTCTAATTTTCTCCATGTTCTGAATGTGCTATGCTGATGTGCCAACAGGTTGCTTGCAGTGGAGAAGCCATCTACAAAAAACTTTCTGGCCTTTGCAATGGAGACATTGCAAATCATCATTCTGAGGTACTGACTTTGTTCTTAAACTTTGCTATTAACAACATACTCTCCTAATTACCACCAAAGGAATCTCAGTACTGAAAAGTGTCACAGATGTAGAAATGACACTGAATTTGCAGGAAGTTGTGTTGCAGAATTTCAGATATTTCCTTTCCGTTAATATCTCCAGATTCAAGTGGATCAGATTGCTTGTTCATCAAGAACTAGACAGATCCATGAGGGAGATAGCATTTAGTTTCATCATCAAACAATGTAATTTTTACTTTGAATCTGAACTTTAAACTAAACCTGTATTTGGGTGATACAGATCTACATCCTTAGTGCACAACTCTGCACCAAGTACAAAACATGTAGCAAAGCTAA